CGCACTACCCTTACGCCGCTCGGCCGGCCGGTTGCAGTCTCCCTTGCTGACCCCTCTGGGGGTCCTGTCCTGTCTCACTTCTCCACTGTCCTCCCGTGTCCGGCTGCCCCTTCGGGCACCCTGTCAGGTCTGTACCTTCCCTCGTTCTCTACGAACTTGGTGAGTGGAGCGGACCTGCAGGATGTGGGTGTTCACCAGTTCACTCCTGCGAGTCAGCGGGTGACCCACTGCACGGAGGCACGCACAGGCCGACACCTGGCCACGTTCTCGCGTCGGCCGGGGTCGAGTCTCTACACCGTGACCGTTGAGTCTCCCCCTGTCCCTGCGTCTGGTCAGGTGGCTGCGTCGGGTCAGGTACTTGCTGCTGCGTCCCGGTCAGGTCCAGAGTCTGCCCCCTGTTCTTGTCGCCTCCTGTCTCACGAGACTCTCCTGTGGCACCACCGTCTTGGCCACCCCTCCTTGCCCCGTCTTCGGAGCATGGCTTCCCGTGTCCTTGTCTCTGGTCTTCCCCAGTCTCTCCCTCCTCTCCCCTCCGGGCCAGGACCTTCCTGTGTCCCCTGTGTCGAGGGTCGCCTCCGGGCTACTCCTCACTCCTCCCACTTCCCCCCGACAGAGGCTCCCCTGCAGACGCTTCACATGGATGTGTGGGGCCCAGCCCCCGTCCGTGGGCAGGGTTACGAGCGCTACTTCCTGTTGGTGGTTGACGACTACTCGCGTTACACCACAGTCCTCCCCTTGCGCAGCAAGGGTGCGGTCACTGAGGTGCTGATCGACTGGATCCGCGAGGCTCGTCTCCAGCTCAGGAAGAGCTTCGGCTCGGACTTTCCTGTTCTGCGTCTACACTCTGACAGAGGCGGAGAGTTCTCTTCTCGCCTTCTGCGAGACTACTGTCGTGCACGGGGGATCCGCCAGACCTTCACGCTTCCGGACTCACCACAGCAAAATGGGATTGCTGAGCGCCGCATTGGCATGGTCATGGATGTCGCTCGTACGTCCATGATGCATGCGGCTGCCCCCCATTTTCTGTGGCCGTTTGCGGTGAGGTACGCGGCGCATCAGCTCAACCTTCACCCCCGGGTCTCTCGGCCTGCGATGTCCCCAGTCTTGCTGTGGACGGGGAAGGTTGGCGATGCGTCTGTGTTCCGTGTCTGGGGATCTCGGGCGTTTGTCCGTGACTTGTTTGCGGACAAGCTGTCCCCTCGTGCTGCTCCCTGTGTCTTCCTTGGCTTCCCCACTGACGCCCCAGGGTGGCAGTTTTACCACCCCTCCTCTCGTCGTGTTCTGTCCTCCCAGGACGTCACGTTCGACGAGTCAGTCCCCTTCTACCGTCTCTTCCCCTACCGCACTCCTTCCCCCCCCCCTCCCCCGGACTTCCTTGTGCCGGTTCCCCCCCCGGTAGACCCCCTCCCCCCTCAGGTTCCTGCCCCCTCAGGTGTGTCCCAGGTAGACGTCGTTGACCCGGTCGAGGTTACTGGTGACTCTGGTGCTGCTGCGGGTGCTGAGCCTGGGGGTGCTGACTCTGGGGGTGCTGTGCGCGGGGGTGCTGGGCCTGAGGGTGCTACTGCGGAGGGTGCGAAGCCTGGGGGTGCTGAGTCTGGGGGTGTTGGGTCGGGAGCTGCTGAGCCTGGGGGTGCTGTGTCTGGAGCTGCTGAGCCTGGGGTTTCTCCTGCTGCTGCGTCTCGCCGGGAGCCCCTCTCTCCACAGGAGCTGCGCGAGTGGTTCGCTCGCCGCTGGAGGCGTGCTGCTGCGTCTGGAGGTGCTGCTGGAGCTGGAGCTGGAGCTTCTTCGACCGTCGAGGGTGCGGGTGCTGCCGGTCCCGGAGCTGCTGGACCTGCGGGTCCTCCTGGAGCTGGAGCTGCTGAGGGCGTTGGTGCTGAGCCTGCTGCAATTGGTCCTGCCGCTGGAGGTGTGGGTGGCGCTGGTGCTGTCGCTGAGGGTGGTGGTGCTGTCCCTGCTGAGTCTGGAGCTGCCGCGCGGCCTCGGCCGTACTTCGTTCCACTCCTGCAGCAGGTTCTTGGTCTTTCTCCTCTGGTAGAGGGTCCACCGCCTGTCCAGTCGCAGTCCCTGCTGGAGCTTTCCTCTCCACTGCCTGCTCCCTCTCCTTACACTGGTCCTACTGGAGGTCTTGCTGAGCGTCGTGAGCCTGCGTCTCGTCCCGCGTCGCCTGTTCGTGCTGCTCGCGCTAGTAGTCGCAGTTCGCGTCAGCGTCCTCCTCCTGTCCCTGGCATCACCGGATGTCTTTGCGTCCTTCCACTACTCCTCTGGGTGCCCCTTTGCCTTCTCCTCCTGAGTCCTCTCTTCCTGTGCTTGCCGACCCTGAGTCGGACTCTCTTCGTGCTGCCAGTCCTACTGTCACGCGTCTCCTTGCTACTGTCGTCACTGACCCCTCGTTTGAGTCCACTGCTGCGTCTGCCCTTGTCGCTGAGCTCGTCGACTTTGCTGCTCGCTGTCGTCTCGACTACGCTGCTAGTCTTGTTGGTGAGTCTGCGTCTGTCTGTCCTCCGTCCGTCGGGGGTGAGTGTGCTCTTGGCACGGACGTCCTAGAGGACAGGCAGGAGGAGTTACAGTGTCTAGCGGCTGCTTCACCTCATCTCGCGTCTGTACTGCTTGCCCCTGAGGGAGACCCGGATGCTCTAGACATCCCGACTCCGCGTTCTTACGCGGAGGCCGTAGAGGGTCCCTACTCCTCTCAGTGGCAGGCAGCTATGGATGCAGAGATGGCTTCCTGAAAGTCCACAGGCACCTACGTTGACGCGGTTCCCCCTCCTGGGGCGAACATCGTCAGTGGCATGTGGATCTTCAGGGTGAAGCGGCCGCCGGGCTCTCCACCTGTCTTCAAGGCACGGTACGTTGCTCGTGGCTTCAGTCAGCGGCAGGGAGTTGACTACTTTCAGACCTTCTCTCCCACCCCAAAGATGACTACTCTTCGGGTTCTGCTGCACATAGCCGCTCAGCGCGACTACGAGCTTCACTCTCTCGACTTCAGCACTGCGTTCTTGCAGGGTAGCCTACACGAGGAGATCTCGCTTCGCCGTCCACCTGGCTTCACTGGGACTTTCCCTCCTGGCACCCAGTGGAGCCTCCGACGGCCAGTCTACGGTCTCCGCCAGGCACCGCGTGAGTGGCACGACACACTGAGGACTACGCTTGCGGCTCTTGGGTTTGCTCCTTCTACTGCTGACCCGTCGCTGTTTCTTCGCACCGACACTTCTTTGCCGCCGTTCTACATCCACGTGTACGTCGACGACTTGGTCTTTGCCACAGCGGACACTGCTGGACTCGCCTACGTGAAGTCCGAGCTGCTCAAGAGACACACGTGCACAGACCTGGGTGAACTGCGCAGCTACCTTGGCTTGCAGATCTCTCGGGACAGAGCACGCCGCACCATTACCTTGACTCAGTCACACATGGTGCAGCAGGTCCTTCAGCGCTTCGGCTTCACGTACTCCTCGCCTCACGCCACTCCTCTGCCTACTCGCCACTCACTCTCAGCTCTCCCTTCGGATGAGTCCGTAGAGTCGAGTGGTCCGTATGCAGAGCTTGTTGGCTGCCTCATGTACCTGATGACCTGCACACGACCTGACCTTGCATACCCTCTTAGCATTCTTGCACGCTATGTTGCTCCTGGAAGACACAGACCGGAGCACATGGCTGCAGCGAAGAGGGTATTGCGCTACCTGTGCAGTACATCGGGCATGGGGCTAGTGCTTGGAGGGCGGAGTCCAGTGGTCCTTACCGGCCACGCGGGCGCTTCTTGGGCTGACGACCAGGCTACGCAGCGGTCGTCACAGGGTTACACCTTCAGCCTTGGTTCCGGCTCTGTCTCGTGGCGGTCTACTCGCTCGTCTTCGGTTCTCGGCTCCAGTTGTGAGGCTGAGATCTACGCCGGGGCCATGGCTGCACAGGAGCTTCGCTGGCTCACCTACCTGCTGACTGACCTTGGAGAGCCGCCTCGTTCTCCTCCAGTACTGTACGTAGACAACAAGGCCATGCTGGCCTTGTGTCGAGAGCAGCGCTTGGAGCACAGAACGAAGCACATTGCTCTCCGCTACTTCCTTGCTCGTGAGCTGCAGCAGCGTGGTCAGTTGCGTCTTGCGTACGTGGCCTCTGAGGCCAACACTGCTGATGTGTTCACCAAGGCACTCGCGCCTTGTGACCATCAGCGCTTTTGCACCCAGCTGGGTCTTGTGCCTGTCTTGCCTCACTTGCTCTCCTCTTGACTTCACTTGTACTGTGACATATATATATGCCTGCTCTTGCTTGTCTAGTTTTATATATATGTCTGTACTCCTGCATGTGAACTGGCCTCTGGCCCTACTCTTGTGCTCGGACTGTGTGGTGACTTTGTGATCCACCCTGAGCTTGCTTTACTTTGCTTGACTGGTCTTGTGACCCCTTGTTCTCCCCCACTTTGCCTATGGGGGTGTGTCAGATTTATATGACATAGTTGCTGTAGGCTATAGTGGGGTAGCACATATGGGGTACAGGGTTTCTAGGGTTGTATTTGTACCCAATCTTTCCTTAGTCATTTCATTCCTGTTCTTTAGTTTCACACATGGGTCCTGGTTTCGGGGCAAATTTGCCCACGATGCATTCACGCGCCTCACTCGACCCATTGTTTCGCACATGTTGTGCAGGATGACGCCACAAGACGCCCCTGCAAGGATGCGCCAGAGCTTGCAGTCATTGCGGCCCGCGAATAGACGCCACCGTCCTTTGAAGGCGCCGATGCAGCGTTCTACTGCCATGCGCGTCGCGCTTTGGCAGTAGTTAAAGCACTGCTCCCAGTCCTCCATTAGTCCTTCACGGGGTGCATGTAGGGGGGTCAGGCAGAAGTTCCTGAGTGGGTAGGCAGCATCTCCCACTATTTGGTATGGCGCTATGTCGCCGTTGTGCAACCTTTCGTGTAACGCGCTGTTCATGGACACTCTCTGATCGTGCGCACTGCCCGGGTATCCGATCAAGTAGTCCCATATGATGCCTCGCGCGTCGCATGTGAGCTACAGCTGGACGGCGTAACATGACTTCCGCGTGTAGTACTCTTGCCTGTGCCCCACCATCCCCTTCATGGGAATGTGTGTGCCGTCTATAGCCCCCACTACCGCGGGTACCCCCTTGATGGCGCGGAACTCCTCGGCCATCTCGTCGAGGTCGTCACGGGTCAAGAAGTGGACCCACTGCTGCTTGAAGACGGACGGGAAATGCATGAGGAGCGCGTCAACAAGCATGTGGCAGAGAGTCTTGGACAGTCCGAACACGGAGGACAAGTCTACGAACGACATGCCACTGGCCAGGTATTTGATAGGGACCAGGCATGCCACTTCGTGACTGATGAAGTACCTGTCCACATACGGCTGCATGTAGTGCGCCATCCCGGCGACTATGTAGTCGAGAATACCTCGGTTTATGCGAAACAAGTCCCTGAATTGATCCTCCCCCATTCCTTCCAGGTCCTCCAACAGCAGATGGTATCTCCGCCGGCGTAGCGCAGCCCTTCTCTTCCGCTCGGCGGTACGGTTGGAGCCGGTAGAGCTGGATGACGAGGACACCTCGTCGTTGAACACGTTCGCCTCCAGCAAGCCAACGACCGACTTGGCGACGGCGTCCATGAAAATGCCGTAGTAGAATGTAACCCAAGGTACGAGCAGTCGCATGAGGAATGGCACCTCGCGGGGCGAGGCCATGGCTGCTAGACAGTGGTGCAGTTTAGGCCTGTGATAGATGTGTTTTTGTACTTGGAGTAGTAGTTGTGTACAAGCTGATGTGCGTGGGGTGTTCTGGGCAAGACCCGCCTCTTCCAAATTGCAACTTCCATTGCACAGGCACACCCTCCCTGATGAACGCGGAGGTGTGATATGTTTAGGCACGCTGACCGGCGGGAAAACTTGGTGGGCACAATCCAAAGGGTCGCAACCAGTAGTACGCACCCACCTGGCCTTGCCCATCTGTCGCGCAGGGTCGCGATACATTGGTTGTTTGTGACACAACATTTTGCAAATTTACACACGCGACTCGGGAAAACGGGGATTGAGACATAAGTGTCCCCGCAGGAATGTACCCTTACTTGTGTGACCATTCGCATAATTTTTCACCTGTTGTTAGTGACTGAATCCGTGACCCCGATTACCAAACTGTGAAAATGAGAACGAGAATGAATCAACTATGAATGAAGTGAGTACAAATATGAAACCCTAATTGGGTTGTACCCCCTATGGGATACCCCACTATAGCCTACACAAAAGCATAAGCTATACATTTTGACACACCCCCATAGGCAAAGTGGGGGAGAACAAGGGGTCACAAGACCAGTCAAGGAAAGCAAAGCAAAACTCAGGGTGGATCACAAAGTCACCACACATTCTGAGCACAAGTTCAAAGGCCAAAAGGCCAGTTCACATGCAAGATCACATATATATATATATATAAGAAGCTAAGCAAGCAAGAGAAGGAGTATATATATGTGACAGTACAAGCAAAGTCAAGAAGTGAGCAAGTGAGGCAAGACGGGCTCAAGACCCAGCTGAGTGCAGAAGCGCTGATGATCACAAGGCGTAAGCGCCTTGGTGAAGACATCAGCAGTGTTGGCCTCAGAGGCCACGTACGCAAGCCGCAACTGTCCACGCTGCTGTAGCTCACGGGCAAGAAAGTAGCGGAGAGCAATGTGCTTTGTCCTGTGCTCCAGTCGCTGCTCTCGACACAAGGCCAGCATGGCCTTGTTGTCTACGTACAGAACTGGAGGAGAACGAGGCGGCTCTCCAAGGTCGGTCAGCAGGTAGGTGAGCCAGCGAAGCTCATGGGCAGCCATAGCCCCGGCGTAGATCTCAGCCTCACAACTGGAGCCGAGAACAGAAGACGAGCGGGTAGCCCGCCACGAAACAGAGCCGGAACCAAGACTGAAGGTGTAACCCTGTGACGACCGCTGCGTAGCCTGGTCGTCAGCCCAAGAGGCGTCCGCGTGCCCAGTAAGGACCACTGGACTGCGCCCTCCAAGCACTAGCCCCATGCCCGACGTACTACACAAGTAGCGCAACACCCTCTTCGTTGCAGCCATGTGCTCTGGTCGGTGTCTCCCAGGAGCAACATAGCGTGCAAGAATGCTAAGAGGGTATGCAAGGTCAGGTCGTGTGCAGGTCATCAAGTACATGAGGCAGCCAACAAGCTCTGGATACGAGCCACTCGACTCTACGGACTCATCCGAAGGCAGAGCTGAGAGCGAGTGGCGAGTAGGCAGAGGAGTGGCCTGAGGCGAGGAGTACGTGAAGCCGAAGCGCTGAAAGACCTGCTGCACCATGTGTGACTGAGTCAGGGTAATGGTGCGGCGTGCTCTGTCCCGGGTGATCTACAAGCCAAGGTAGCTGCGCAGTTCACCCAGGTCAGTGCACGTGTGTCTCTTCTTCAGCTCGGACTTCACGTGGGCGAGTCCAGCAGTGTCAGCTGTGGCAAAGACCAAGTCGTCGACGTACACGAGGATGTAGAACGGCGGCAGAGAGGTGTCGGTGCGCAGAAACAGCGACGGTTCGGCAATAGAAGGAGCAAACCCAAGTGCCGCCAGCGTAGTCCTCAGTGTGTCGTGCCACTCACGCGGCGCCTGGCGAAGACCGTAGATTGGACGCCGGAGACTCCACAGGGTACCAGGAGGGAAAGACCCGGTGAAGCCAGGTGGGCGGCGCAGCCAGATCTCCTCGTGCAGGCTGCCCTGCAAGAAAGCAGTGCTGAAGTCAAGAGAGTGCAGCTCGTAGTCACGGTGAGCAGCAATGTGCAGCAATACCCGAAGAGTGGTCATCTTCGGGGTAGGGGAGAAGGTCTGAAAGTAGTCAACTCCCTGCCGCTGACTGAAGCCACGAGCCACGTAACGCGCCTTGAAGATAGGCGGAGAACCCGGCGGCCGCTTCACCCTGAAGATCCACATGCCACTGACGATGTTCGCCCCAGGAGGGGGGACAGCGTCAACGTAGGTGCCTGTGGACTTCCAGGAAGCCATCTCTGCATCCATAGCTACCTGCCACTAAGAGGAGTAGGGACCCTCTTTCGCCTCCGCGTAAGAGCGCGGAGTCGGGATGTCAAGTGCATCCGGGTCTCCCTCACGGGTAAGCAGTACGGACACGAGGTGAGGTGAAGCAGTGGCCAGACACTGGAACTCCTCCTGCCTAACCTCAAGGACATCCGTGCCAAAGGCACACTCACCCCCGACGGACAGAGGACAGGCAGACTCAGACTCAGCGACAAGACTAGCAGCGTAGTCCAGACGACACCGAGCAGCAAAGTCGACGAGCTCAGTGACAAGTGCAGACGCAGCAGTAGACTCGAAAGAAGGGTCAGTGACGACAGTTGCAAGAAGACGCGTGACAGTAGGACTCGCAGCACGAAGAGAGTCCGACTCCGGGTCGGCAAGAGCAGGAAGAGAGGACTCAGGAGGAGAAGGCAAAGGGGCATGCAGAGGAGCAGTAGACGGACGCAGTGACATCCGGTGCGTGCCAGGGACAGTAGGAGGACGCTGACGCGAACTGCGACCACTAGTGGCGCAGCACGAACAGGCGACGCAGGACGAGACGCAGGCTCACGACGCTCAGTAAGACCTCCAGTAGGACCAGCGTAGGGAGAAGGAGCAGGCAAAGGGGAGGCAGGCTGTAGCTGTGACTGTGACTGGACAGGCTGTGGACCCTCTAAAGTAGGAGGAGGAGGACCAGTAGAAGGGGGGAGACCAAGAACCTGCTGTAGGAGTGGAACGAAGTACGGTCGAGGCCGCGTGGCGACGCCAGGAACAGCTGGGACGGAACCTCCAGCAGCAGCAGGAGCACCCCCAGCAGGACCGCCAGTGGAAGTCTCGGCGCCAACACCCTCAGCAGTACCAGCTCCTGTCGAACGTGCAGGCCTAGCAGCTCCAGTACTCCCAGGACGAGCATCTCCGGGACCCGCGACAGCAGCACCCTCAGTAGCTGACGAACCTCCAGCACCAGCAGCAAGGCTCCAGCGCCGGGCGAACCACTCGCGCAGCTCCTGTGGAGAGAGTGGCTCCCAGCGAGACGAAGCACCCGGAGAACCTCCACTCTCAGCACCCCCAGTCTCAGCACCCCCAGGCGTAGCACCCCCAGGCTCAGCACCCCCAATCGCAGCACCCCTTGGCTCAGCACCCCCAAGCTCAGCACCCCCAGGCTCAGCACCCGAAGCAGCACCAAAGTCACCAGTGACCTTGACAGGCTCGACCGCGTCTACCTGGGACACACCTGAAGGGGCAGGAGCCTGAGGGGGAAGGGGGTCTACCGGGGGGGGACCTGGTACCAGGAAGAGCGGGGGCGGGGGGAGGGACGGAGTGCGGTAGGGGAGGAGGCGTTAGTAGGGGATCGACTCGTCGAACGTGACGTCCTGGGAGGACAGAACACGGCGAGAGGTGGGGTGGTAAAACTGCCACCCAGGTGCGTCGGGGGGGAACCCCAGGAAGACGCAAGGAGCAGCGCGAGAGGACAGCTTGTCCGCAGATAAGTCGCGGACAAACGCCCGAGATCCCCAGACCGGGAACGCCGATGCATCGCCAACCTTCCCTGTCCACAACAGGGCTGGTGAGGTCTCCGGTCTGGAGACCCTGGGGTGAAGGTTGATCTAGTGCGCCGCGTACCTCACCGCAAACGGCCACAGAAAATGGGGGGCAGCCGCATGCATCATAGACGTACGAGCGACGTCCATGACCATGCCAATGCGGTGCTCTGCAATCCCATTTTGCTGCGGTGAGTCCGGAAGCGTAAAGGTCTGACGGATGCCTCGCGCACGACAGTAGGCTCGCAGAAGGCCAGAGGAGAACTCTCCGCCTCTGTCCGAGTGCAGACGCAGAACAGGAAAGTCCGAGGCAAAGCTCTGCCTGAGCTGGAGACGAGCTGCGCGGATCCAGTCGATCAACACCTCAGTGACATCACCCTTGCTGCGCAAGGGGAAGACTGTGGTGTAACGCGAGTAGTCGTCAACAACAAGCAGGAAGTAGCCCTCGTGACCCTGTCCACGGACGCGGGCTGGGCCCCACACGTCCATGTGAAGCGTCTGCAACGGGGCCTCTGACGGAGGAAACTGGGAGGAGTGAGGGGTCTCAGAATCCCAACCACTAGACCATTGGGATAAAAGGGCTTGTTTCAGTAGCGGGTCAGTGCGCCCATAACCCCCCATGCAAATGTGCCTGTAACCCTTCCCTAGGATCGATCGGGGATCACCAGTGGACCTCTGACACCCCCCCGCACTGGGATGCCCGAAGTGCATACACCGGAATTCGAACCCGAGACCTTCGCTCTGACACCATCTCAGAATCCCAACCACTAGACCATTGGGATAAAAGGGCTTGTTTTAGTAGCGGGTCAGTGCGCCCATAACCCCCCAGGCAAATGTGCCTGTAACCCTTCCCTAGGATCGATCGGGGATCACCAGTGGACCTCTGATAAGGGGCAGCACGCTGGCGCCCCTCGACACAGGGGACACAGGAAGGGCCAGGGCCCTGAGGAAGGGGAGGGAGGGACCGGGGGAGATCAGACACAAGAAGACGGGAGGCCATGCCTCTGAGCCGAAGCAGAGAGGGGTGACCAAGGCGGTGGTGCCAGAGGAGAGTCTCGTGAGATAGGAGACGACACGAACAGGGGGCAGACTCAGGACCAGACCTAGACGCTGCAGCAAACACCTGACCAGACGCAGGGACCATACCAGACTC